AGATCGTCCTCAGGCCCAAACGAGATGGACAAAAACGGCGCTCCGGCCAAATTGAAGATCTTGATACAACCTGCAAAAACACAAAAAAGCGACAAAATAGCTGTTACTCAAATACCATTGATATTGCACATTTCTTACTCACCATCCATAGCATTCTTTGCTTCCGGAATCGGGATCAGTCGTCCCCCGTTGACGAATACTGATTGAAGGCAAGCCTCATCAATCGCCAGGCGGGCGGCGAATGCCTCCCGCAAACACTCATCTGATGCCGCCTTCAATGCGCAGCTTTGACGAATTCTACCTTCCGTTATTGCCACCTCCTCCGACAGCTGCATCAATTTGTCATTCACTGCAGCGAATCAATTGCATAGAGCCCGCAGCTTATTTTTGGAGGCCTTCATCTCCACCACCTCGGCGGCAGCATCCCGCTCCGCTCCTCGACGGGTGACTTCTGCGCAAGCCGTTGTATCAATGGCCGGTGCAAACATGATTAAACGTCGGAGACGATTGAGGTCCATCCGAGCTAAGGTTGGTACGACGTCCTCAGCTCCAGAAGGCAGCACTACAACTGGTCCAGTATCAATCCGACGCTGCTTTGATGAGGAGGGGCCAGCCTTGTCAACTGACTTGGCCGCCCCGATGGTCCAGCTCCTACTGACAAGCCAACTTCATTGGACACAGCATCCCCGTTTGGCGGATCTGTTCCAGTTCCTGTAGAAGACTCCGTAGCATCCAGGAGTTCAGTTTCGTTAACGTCCGCATCCAATTCCATGTTGTCCGATGAAGTACAGCTGATTCTTAGCTCCTCTTCAGCTGAAAAAACATAAAACAGGCAAAATTGTTATATTTCTGTTTGAGCATAAACATGTGTCTTGTCTCTTACCTTTGCTGCTTGAGTCTGACTCACTAATAGCATGATGGGAATGCTTCATTTGGCACTTAATTGATCTGTGGACGGATGGAAACAAAAAACATCAGATGCATTATTGGCACAGGAACACAATTGGAGAAATCTCTCCTTTGCGAACACGACGTTTGGTCACTCGCACTCCCCTTTGGGTTCAATTTTTGTTGCACGGAGATGGGTCAGTTCCTCCAAATCTTGGACAAGGGAGGTCATCCCTTCCTTGAAGCACTGACACGTACAAACACGTGTTGGGAGAGTGCAACCTTCTCCCCATCTCTAACCGATTGGTTCATACACTAATCTCCAGAGTTTGTACACCGCTCTGGACTGATCTACACATATTAATTTTTGGGACTACTTCTAAGGCTGGAACCGATGCACGAGTCCTCCTTGCCTGTCTGCAACACCCATTTTTTGAATCAAGGGTGAGAGCCGAGGTCATTCCTCCGCTCAATCGCCTGCGGAATCGGCCTGATGACCTGAACGAGTGGAGGTCATGCCTCCCTTGTACGCGAAGACGTGTCTCGGTCAATACCGATTTAGGGAAACTTCCCCACACGTGTTGGGAGAGTGCAACCTTCTCCCCATCTCTAACCGATTGGTTCATACACTAATCGCCAGAGTTTGTACACTGCTCTGGACGGATCCACACATATTAATTGTTGGGACTACTTCTACGGCTGGAACCGACGCACGAGTCCTCCTTGCCTGTCTGCGACAACCATTTTTTGAATCAAGGGTGAGAGCCGAGGTCATTCCTTCGCTCGATCGCCCGCGGAATCGGCCTGACAACCCGAACGAGTGGAGGTCATGCCTCCCTTGTACGCGAAGACGTGTCTCGGTCAATACCGATTTAGGGAAACTTCCCCACACGTGTTGGGAGAGTGCAACCTTCTCCCCATCTCTAACTGATTGGTTCATACACTAATCGCCAGAGTTTGTACACCGCTCTGGACGGATCCACACATATTAATTGTTGGGACTACTTCTAAGGCTGGAACCGACGCACGAGTCCTCCTTGCCTGTCTGCGACACCCATTTTTTGAATCAAGGGTGAGAGCCAAGGTCATTCCTCCGCTCGATCGCCCGCGGAATCGGCCTGACAACCCGAACGAGTGGAGGTCATGCCTCCCTCGTATGCGAAGACGTGTCTCGGTCAATACCGATTTAGGGAAACTTCCCCACACGTGTTGGGAGAGTGCAACCTTCTCCCCATCTCTAACCGATTTGTTCATACACTAATTGCCAGAGTTCGTACACCGCTCTGGATGGATCTACATGCACTTTTGGGGAAAACACTTTTTGACGGCAGGAACTGATGCACCAGTTCTCCTCGCCTTTTTCCAACCGAGTTCACTACTCCGTTGCCCTGTGACAACCGAGTTTGCTACTCCGTTGCTCAGGGAGCGTGTGAATCGGTCAATACCGATGTTGGGGGACTTGCGTTTGCCGTCCACCCCACACGCGACAGGAGTCGACTCCCCTCCGTGTCCGTCACAAATCACTGGAATTTTTGTCAATCACTGGGAAACACAAAATTTTTGCCACATCGACGACGTGACGCCTGCCTCCCGGGCGTTTCGGCGTCCCCCGTCCTAATCAAACGGGAGATGCCAAAAACACCCGTGGAACAGACGTCATTCCTGAAGCATTGGTCACAGAAACGCCAATCAAACAAAATCCGCAAGAAAGACGACCACCATACTCGCGACGAATGGATAACATCTACCCCAATGAGTTGATGACATCCACAAACACTCACAAAGATGACAACCGCGACGACAAGATAACTTCAGCAAACTGTTTAATGTCAAATTTGACATCAAAACTTGTTTTTGCACTTCACAACTTCAAAAGACCTACGAGACGACCTCTACTAGGCCAACTAGCAAATCGGTGACAGCCTGTCACATCAAATCTCGACATGCTTCTGTGAGCACGTTGAAGCTGACAAGGGACCTTTGTCCCTCTCAGCATGGCACCATTTGTTTGGCATGGCGCAATATGACTCATATCAAAAAATCTCAATTCGCCTGGAAAATGCGAACACCTTCCAGGCAGATGACTCAGCAATACACACACAAAAACGCCTCTCACTCCTCTGACTAGCAATGTCTCAAAATTTCGAGAGCATTCTGGGGGAGCCGCGCATGCGCGCCGCCATCTTTCTCCCCGCGCCGACCAGTCAATTGGTCTTGCCCAGCTCACCACCCGGTGGCAAACCAGGAAAGACCAAGGGGGTTTTGTCACGGGTTGACTAGATGTCGCCCGCGCATGCCCCAATTAACTTGGGAAAACCAGGTGCCGCCCAAGTCGGCACAACAACAGAATGTACGAGAGTACAACGTGGCGTACAAAATGCTGCGTTGTCCTCGTAACTCGGAAAAAGTATTCCTGAAAAAGGAGTAAGTATTAATAAATTATTATTTTATCATTTTTATCTTTAAGAAAAACAAGATTCCTTGGAAACCTAACCACACCAGGGATAGCCTTGGAGATAATGATCTCCAAGACTTATTCCACTCTTGTGAGTCAACATAATCATGAGAATTGAACAAATAACAATTGGACACACAGGCAGAAAGCCTTGAGGAAACTTTC